TACTTTATAAATGCATTGTTAATTAACAAATTCAAGAGTTGTTTCTGAAGTCAATGAAGCCTCACATTACCAAGCACCACTACAATGATTGTTAGTGGGAGGTTTCAGGAGTTATTTTGGGACTTTTCTATTTTGATTGTACAACACGGCTCCAACAAGCTGACAAACAGAAGTCGTTGACAATTTGGTTTCTCTTTTATTATAATCCATGTTGCTAACCTGTCATTATAGGTATACTATCTAAAAAAAAAAATATGTATAAATAATATTTATTAATTGCAAATTTACTCTAGGCCTAATTAAATTTATAAAAACTATACATTGCTAACTTGAGATATTATGGTTTATTTTGACAAAGGCCAAGATAAACTTGTGTATTGTACAGTAATTCACTGATAAAGGATGTGCTGATATGTTTAATTGTAGCCTATATGTGTAGGACAAGAATATTATTTAACTGATTGGATTAAAAGTATTGTTTGTTTCTACTAGGTGGCTTTAACCGAAATCTCTATAATTGACTTTTAGATACCTACTGAAGTTCCGGAAGACATCCCATCAATGACCCAGCGGTCGCCAATTTTTTACTCAAAAAGTTTACTTAGCCAGTCAGTGTTTAATAATTTACATCAGCGCAATCTGTCAATGGCTCAATATACTTCTGTTTAATTTTTTATTAAAAACTGGCAACAACTTAAACACAATGGAATGCCTATTCGTCAAAGGTACATTTACATAATTCATCCAAGGCCATACCCAATTACAGGTTACTAGTTGTCAATAAAAAGTTGACACAATAATAACAATAAGAGTAAAACAAATATTTTCATATTATTAAATTTATATAACAACCAATGTTCAGTGTGCAAAAGTGACATTAGATAATGGTTTGCCAAGGTCAACTCAGTCAAGTTGATCAACCATTCTTTACAGCTTCTGTTTACCAACACTGTTTCAAGAATAGTTCACTCTGATGTCCTTGAAATTGTTATCTGGACCATGACAGATAAAAATTAATTTGATTACTTGTTACAACTATTTAAATACACTGTAAGTGAATATTTAGTTTCGGTGTAGGGTTCACAATTTTGAAACTCATTAATCACAGTAAAATAATGTTGGGATAAAGTAGTAGAACAAGTAACCATCAGGACTGTTAGAGGACAAAACCAGACCAAACTGGATGTTTCAATTAGAAGTGTCCACTCACCATTAACTAGGCCTACATACCCATAGCAGCAAACATGCAATCCCTCTTGGTATCAATTAATAGATAAATTTATTGAATTATGAAAAAATGCAAGTTAGGCCCTATAAACATTTATTTCTGTCCAAAGAGAGTTAATGACCAACCAGTACATCAGATCCTAAAAGTCACTTGCTTATGACAAAAGGAAATTTTTTTTTGCCCTCCTTATACAAATAGGCAACATTAAATGGATTTTATAAAAAAGGCAGTTCTAGTTTTAGGTACCTAAATAAGGTTTTATACCTATCAATTTTGTTAGATATATATATGTTGACAAATAAAATAACAGTTTTAATCGCAAGACAATCTACAGGATATTCACAGAAAATTTTGTCATTAATTTCCATGACTTTCCATAACCATTTACCATTGATTTCTATGATTCACGAACTTTACTCAAAAATGATAATATAACATAAACACACGAATAATACTACCTAGATACGTTATTTCACAGAAAATATTGAAATATGTATTAACAGATAACAATGCAGTACAACAATTAACTAATATAAACACAAAACTCATGAACTAATACAACTGTAATAAATTCAATTGTCCTATTTGTGAAAACCCCTGAAAACTGCTACAATAGTTGGGGTTACATCCAACTAGAGCATTGAAATGTCCCCTCAAATTCATCCATCATTGGGGATTTCCATGACTTTCAATGACCACAATTTTTTTCCATGACTATCCTTGACTTTCCAGAATGTGGACTGGACACCCTGAATCAATACACACAAAATGCATGAGTTCATACCCCGCCGCTATCTACTGTATAATGTTGATAGCTTCCGTTAAGAAATAATGAATTTACCGAATATGATCATATTTCCATAAATACCCCTTGCAGCACCAAAACCTGCAGACTGACCAAATTCCCATTTGCCTAGTTGAATTTGTACTTAAAAAATAAATTTTTATCAAAATATAACCTATCTATAACACAAGCAAACTACCACAATTTACTACCGGTATTCTCCATTAAAAATTAGTACCGGTAATTCTAAATTTCAAATTATTTGGATTTTTTTCATAACCAAATATGTCAGGATACTTGAATACTTGTCTTCTCCATCGTTGACCGACATGTCGGATAGATTGCGTCATATTTGATCTATTTACATATTTACTAGGGTAACCTAATTTAATAATTAGTAATTAGTTTTTTATCCAGACTATGGTTTGGAGAGAAATAGGTAGAGCCTACAAATTCTTTGTTTTGAACGTGAAAAATGAGAAGAACCAATTTTTACCCCATAAAACCCCATTTCCATGGTCTGATCATGCTGGTTCCCAAACTCGTTTAGATAAATGTATAGGTTTACATGTTAGGTAGTAGGGTATCAAATTATATAAAAATTGGATGATTTTTGTAGAGTTATTGTGCTAACAGAGAAGCGTCTCAGCCTATATAAGCAGCCTAGGCCTATATATATTTTAGTTGCAAAATGTCTTGTGGCCAAAAACCCAAGTTAATTGTGAATTTAAGGTTAAAGTTACGATTACAGTTTGGGCGAGTCCAAGATCTAACACTTGAAGGGCCGAGGGGGAACATGGAGAGCGAATATCTGTTTTGGTGTGATGCAAAACAAAAAAATACTCCTACACGAGCTTATGTTTTAAATAAAAACTTACTTACAATTTAAACAGCTATAATAGCTATAATAGCTTCATACAATGGCATCCATTTAATAGGTGATTTGAAATAGATTAGCCACTTGTATTTAATTAAAAAAAGGATATCTAGGCTAAATGAATGTTTCATGTTGGAAATATAAAATAAATTTTTGCTAAGCTAGGATATAGTAGCCCATTAAAATAAAAATGGGACCACAGTGAGAACAGGGGTTTATGGGAGGTTTTATGGGCTAAAAATGGGTTTTCCCATTTTTGACCCTAAAAACAAAAGAATTTGCAATTTCTTTCTAAACCATTTTGTTGATCTTAAAAAAAGAAATAATTTAGTATATTGAAGCACTGTTGTATGCCTAACAGTCACAGAGAAAATTCAAAAAAAGTGTACCTACCTAATTTAAAATTCCCATGTTATTCTTATGGAGAAAATTAAAAAATGTCGTACGGTAGTTTTTACTTGTTTATAGATGTATGTTGATAAAATTTGGCAAAATGTTATTTAAATTGGGAATAAATATGTCTTATTTATGGAAATATTTTTGAAAAAATCTAATTAGAAAAGTTTAAATTTGCTTAGTCTGTAGGTTTGCTGCAGCGGGGGTATTAAATCCTTTTAAGTTAGGTTAGATGAAAAGCAAGGTAAAGTTTAGGTTATGATGAAACTTCCTAATTGAACCGACAACAATAACAGTGTAGCCTACTCACAACTAAAATATCTATCTGATAGATAGTTTACTGCGGTCCAAAAAAGAACCAAACCAGCCTAGGAGACATTGTGAACATTGTGTCTTATTTTGTTAGCCGATCGCGACAAAAACTAAACTAAAGATTTGCCCAGTAAACACATATTCCCTCGTCCAACAAACACATACCCCAACATCCAATAAAAAAACATTCACCTTTGAGAACCCAGTGTGCAACGATAATACCTTTTTGGCAAGAAATAATGTGAGAAAGACGTCCGCCATTACACCATGATATAACATGTTTATTTGTTTATTTTTGTTTATTTGTAGCCTACATTACAAATCTGATAACATCAAGAAATGGATTCATGTCAAAACTCCATGGAGAAGGTTCTAGGCAAAGAATTCACAAAGACACAACAAGCCAATCAGAATACTTGCACCATGACAACACCACAGACCAATAGCAATACAAGTCACTCTACCACAAAAACTACTAGAATAACAAGTGACTTATTGCGCTTTAGTTTTCACCATGTAGCTGTTAGGCCTATTGATTATCCTTACCTATGTCTCTGCCTCACGTCAGTAGACAACACCACAAACCTAAAGCTACGTTCCAAAACATCAAGCGACACGGCAGTAGCCACAACAACCAATGTTAAGGTTGGAATTTACTAAATTTCTCTAAATAGCCCAAGTTAAATGACTTAAAAAAATTGTTTAGCAACATTTAAGTAAGAATGTGGGCTTAAAAAGGACTTAGGCTAACCGATTAATTTCGATAGAAATGCTTACCCATGATTTCATAGGGCTAAATAAACAGGCCGCCGTTTGAATAAGACACGCCATGAGACCCAGAGATAAGTTAGTTGTGCCCCCTTCTGCATAGGGAATTTTTCACTGCCTCGCGACCCCAAAAAATTTAAAACCTCTTGTGCCCCTGGGTTCTGGCCTGTCGGGCTCAATTACTACAACGGCCCTGCGAATAATCTTCACTGATTCATAGCTGGTGTCCATATTTACATTAGGCCAAGTGGTGTAAGTTTAGGTACACTGTATGTAGTCTGTTTAAAGGCAATTTATCTACGTCTTCAACCCAACCAAAGAATATATGCCTAGCCTACTAGATAAACCTCACTAAAATCCAAAACTATAATTCCATAGTCATTAACGATCAATGATTTGCTTTAAGACTGAAGCAAGGTAGGCCAGGCTTTAGCCAAAATTAAATCTAGGTTAATCTAGGCCTGAGCTAACAAGGTCAACTATCACCTTAATTATAAAATCTTAATGCATGGGCTCCCTAACATCGATATACGTAAGAGCTAACCAGAGTACATAAACATGACAAGAGATTGAAAGTACAATAGGTCTAGTGGTAATAAGCCTGGATGTTAAAGGTATTGTATAAATTGACTTACCAAAAACGTCTGCAGTTTTGCACTTAGAGAAGAACCAAGCATCATCTCCAAATTGTCCTTTTCTAAGCCTAGTTTGTTTAAAGTCTTTTGGAAATCCACTAACTGCTGATAGAATATAAGGTTCACGTTTCGGCTTTACTTTAGCATCAGCACAGTTATTCGAATAATTTGTTATGCTATTCCACAAAGCACGTGATAAAATTCTACCCGTCCAAACAATTGAATGCATATTATTTATAACTAACACCACTTAATCACAGCATTTTCTTGTAAACTTCTAGATTTTAATTCATTCGGTTAGAAACTGAAACCTTTATGGACACAGTTCATTTAATTCTTTTATGAACACTTATAAAATACAAATTAATAAAACAACACAACACACTAATCTACAAAATATACAGAACAGACAGTTTCAGTCCAGTGCAGTGACTGACTGTCTGCAGCTTTCAATAAATTAGCATTGACCAATCATCATCGTGCATGGAGTAAGAACCACTTTCTCATAAATCAGCTGAGACATGTTGCCAACCACGATCGACGAAGTATCTTTAAGAATAAAATATTTATATGTAATAATACAGCAGCATGCCTCAAAATTTAATAAATTTCTTGTTGCTTTATTGAGGGGTTAATCGAATTGGCTTATGCTATGAGGAGATATACACTAACAACCACGGCCAATACAAAATTACATTGAGCATTATTTGTGGTCAACACCACAACCATAGCTCAGGTTTGCTGAACAAAAAAAACAATCAATCTATGTAACTTTGTTAGTTAAATATGAATAGAGGGTGAGGGTAGAAAAGTATGTTTTACCTTTGGTAGAATTTAAAAAAGATTATTGAAAATACAGTACTCTATTGTATGTTATATCTAAATATGAACGCATGATGAGAATTATTGATTTAAAATCACTTAATAAAGTTATAAAAATAAATGTATTACCATCCATAGAATAGCTGAAGAGTATTTTAGTTTGGGGTTAGTTCCGTCCGGTTTATGTAGAGGACGGTTTGTTGTTTACAATTTAATTCTTGATATTAAACTTATCTTCAAACTATTCAAAAAATGAGCTAATTATAAAAATACACCCTCTGGCATTAAAAACGAACAATAAAGCACAAATAGTAAAATAATATTTGACTATCAATAATTTAATAAGTCAAGAAGTACATTAAGTCATCGTCTATAATCTGACGCTTGTTTTGCCATAAATGTGCTGCACTTTTCCATTCCGCACATTGAAACATAAATGCCATCATATAGGCTCATACCATGCACTAAAAACACAGCTACAACACGGTATAGTATGGAACATCAGAACGAAGATCCGCGAGTTTTATTCTTCCAGGTTTCGTCTGGAAAAATTATTACTAAACTTTCACTCTACATCTTTTTATTTATATATATGACAACTTTGACAAGGCTCATCATGGCTGAGGTGAATAAATGCCGTTAGAAATTAACTTGACATCATTAATAAGGACAGAATAATAGATTAAAGACAATAACTAGCTATATATCTATTAGGTGTACAGAAAAAAAGAAGAAAAAATGCCTATAGTTGCCTTGGTTGGGGTTTTACTGTCTTGACGATCCTGAGCACCTGGCTTATCACACAGATGGACAGATATCTCCTGATTCAGGATAATCCTCACACACCTGACACACTACCCCTTCCACCGCAGTGGTCATAACGTGATGGCCTTACGTGGATTCTTATTGCCACCCCTTACTCGTTTTAGTTTTAAGCTCACAAAATTTAGCCCGGCGGTTGGGTTTTACACACCAAGTATGGGTAACCTCGAGGTTTACGATCATTTGATTATTTACCTCTATTTGAAGTAGGCTGGGGATCATCCAGCCAACTCTTTTATCATAATCGACACCTAGTCGCTACCGCAGTCTCGAGTTAAATTCCCCATCAGTTGCACCTCTGACATACTGGACATCTAGTTCCGCACACAGATCGTCCGTGCAAGGTTGCCAGTGCTGTACTTCTGGGCATCCTCCTCATAGCATAGATCCCTGTCACTGCTCCTTTCCACCATAATAATTCTCTAGACGACAATCCATCATGCAGTCATCCCCGGAGTCTTCTGCATGTCAATTACATGAAGTCCCATGGGAATCTAATGGTTAGGTTAAGCACTCATTATCACTCAGACTCCAGTGTCATTGTGTGGGGAACTCCACTTGCCACTGAAGTTGACAACTGCAGAGCACAGGCACAAGGGAACGCACAAGACTGAGCGGGAACTTAGAGCGCATGAGCGGCAGTGTTGCCAACCTAATATGATGATTTTCCAAGTAATCGCCACTGGAAATCCCCGATTTTATTCGCAAAGATTATGAAATTACCCGCAACAATTCCTGATTAATCCTCTGTGAACAATTATATATGTTCATTATTAACCCATTATGGAGGAGGTTATTCAGCCTAACTAAAGCAGCTTTTTTGGGGGGGAGGGTTCTATCCCCCTAATCCCCCTCCCGTAGTTACGCTACTGGGTCCTAACTAATATACATAGTGTTTCAGGACAAAGAACAGAATGTGAACGACATTTCCACTCATTCCCGAGTCCTGACCTGTACTTATAAATACAGATCCTGGATACCATTTAACTGTTAACAGGGTGAAAGTTTTAAGTGGTAATAGTAAATTAAAACTCTTCCGGACTTAACGCATATATACCTTACCAACTTATTAAGTTTGTGGAATCCATACAAGGGATTTGCAGATGGCAGTCTTATACAAACAGCCAACTTGATAGATAATGGAGACATTATAAGTAAAATAGTTTATTATTCACTTTTTGGACAATACATAAAAGTCAGTCAAGTGTTTCCGAAATTAAAAAGAAAACTTTAACATGACGAGTAGTTTTAAATTACTTTTCATTTGTAGGTATAAAAATCAATCACAGATAAGAAACTTAATACAGAATAAAATGTTTTCTCTGTGCTTTGCTGGTAGAGGAGATGAAGGTTATGAGTAGCCACGTAGTTGCATCCTTTTTATTGAGGAGGCCACTTTCAGGGCAAACACAACGCCTATCGCCTGAAATATAAAGATTATGTAGACATCTGTATTTTTAACAAAAATCTAAAGCCTCGTTCAAACGGGTTCAAGTTCAAACGTTGTAAACTCGCACCGTGTGAACGGGGCTTTAATATATAAAAGGCAAAGCCCTCGCTGACTGACTGACTCACTCACTCACTCACTCATCACTAATTCTCCCACTTCCCATTTTACCTAGGAGGCTGAAATTCGGTACACCGATTCTTTGGACATTAAATAGGAAAACTAAGTAGTTTTTATTCTCTGATTGGGCTTTCGGGCTCCAGTGGCCCCAGGGGCTCTGGAGTTTCCCATGTTAACCTTATGATCTTTCATATTTAACAGGAATTTCTTAACAGCTGTTTCAATTAAACAAGTTGGTTCTGTTCTATGATGTTCAATAGCATTAAAGTTACAAGGATTACCAACAGGGTGCAGCACTATTATTTTTTTAAATTTATGACTACAGCCAATTTGCAACCAAAAGGTGAGTGAGCGTAGCAAACGAACTTCAACCAGAACGTGATTGAGCCATGCGAACGAGCTCACTTGTGAAATTAAACGGGGCAAAGCCCGCGGGTACAGCTAGTAAGTTTATAAAAATGAAAAACATTTACATAAAAAATAAGTTTACCTCTGTCACTTATAAGTTTGTGAGTTCAGCCACAGAGAAAATTAAGTTAAAAAGGATAATATCCGAAGGTACACTTATGTGATGTCAAGCCCTACTTCGTTCACAATAGGCGGTTTTAGGGGAAGAAATCTATCCCCTCTACTTGACCCTCGCTTTTAAAATAATAGCTCAACAGCTGATTAAGCAACATACATTAAATACAAAAAGTGGTGAGGGAACTTCCCCTCAAACCTCCTAAATATTGTGATCGAAGTATAGTCTCTGATGTCTAGGGCAAAGTCTCGCCATCCTCGCCCTCAAGCACTACAACGCTGACAATCTGTGGATGATCTGTGCATGCGATACTCCCTATGGTGTGGATTAACATCCGCACTAGCGAGTACAGTACTAAAACTAGCCACAGTAATTCTGATGATTAGACCAATTCGTAAATTACCGTACAAGGAAAAAAAATTGGTTTGGATTCCATTACAGTATAAACCTTAGGTCCCAGTTGCCATTGGCTGATTAGACTATTAATTAACAATCGTCTAATGAACATGTCTGTCTTAGTCAGTGACAAGACTACAAGATCGCGCCACTCATCCTACACTCATCTCCATTCATACTTGGCTTAAAATACCTACCTGTGTATGGTATCCATTTTAATTAAAAGTATTAAAAGTTGTCAATTAATATCATGTCAGCCACCAATCACTCAGTCATGCAGCGTAACTTTCAAACCATTCCAAAATAATTTTTTATATCTCTAAAATTTAAAGTCTTAAAAAATATTCCACCAAAAGAAGAAAATTTCTCCTTGTGAGATGATTTTGCATGTTTGATCTTAAAAAAGGTTTTTACAAAGACTCGTTATTTAGTGGTGTGTAAGGTATTAACCTGGACTACAGCTAAGATGATAGCCCATTTTTGGATTGCTGAGAACTTTTCCTTGACTTTTTCACTCAAGGTTGATATGCAGTCTGTTTTGAACGGGACCAAGGTAATGTTCTTGTTGGGATAGCAAGACTCTGGCATGGTCATGTTCAAAATGTTCCAAGGTGTACTTGTGTTAACAGAACCGCAGCACTTGAACTGGAACAGATTTCAAAATTAAGTTACTTGTACCATGTTTAATTTATTTCCTGCCACTACAAATATGTATACAATGTAACTTCAGAGTCGGCCTTAGGCACATGGTAAAGGTGCGGCCACGAAGGGCTCCACACCTCAGGGAATTCCGCTCTTGAAGCAAGATACAAAAATCTGTATAAGGTCTGTGAATTTTACATCAATTATGAAAAATCAAAAAGAGGGAAGTAATAAATAATGAGATTTAGTATTGATGGGATACTACATTTTTTATTGTAAAGGGCTCTGAACGTTGCACTGAGCCCTGCACCACCCAAGGCCAACTCTGGTCACACCACAAAAAATATCTGCTAAGTTATAAATCTACTGGTTTCTTATAATGGATACACCGAAGAGACACTTATTCCTACAACAGAAAACATTTTAAATAAATTTGAGTTTGGCTCACAAAATAAGAGAGGTGTCAGTATATCAGCCTTGATCGCGCTCCTATTGGGGCTGAGAGAGTTCAATTCTTAGACAATCACTGTATTAGTGTGTTCTCTAAACCGTCTTCTACTGGTTTAATTGGTTCCCACTGTGATGATTAGTGTTTTAATAGTAGTTGGAAATGACAAGAGAGAAGACGCTCACACCTAGTATGAATCTTGTACGCTTTGATTTATTTAGTGTCTAGGCATCAACCGATATTGAAGTCCATTTCAAATTGGCGTACATGAATGAAGTAAAGTGCGACACGTAAATTGTGCGTGGAGGTGTACACAAATATTTTGCACGTATAGGCCATTCGTCTTGTTCCATGCATCAACAAAAGTTACGGGAATTTTTAATGCGCATAGTGCACTGAACAAGATATAATGCCAAACCGACCGAGGCGTCTTTTTGACCCTAACCAGTACAACTGTAAACTCTGGTACGGTAGTTTAAAACACGCCAATCAGCAAGTAAAGATTCCTCAACTTTGATCACTGCGTTGATAGAAACTGGAAACTGATGAGCACAGCTGACGCCAATTTGACGGCTTTCATTGATCAAATTGTGTACGGATTTCTGCAAACTCCCTATGCAACAGATTTCAGTGAGGGTTGGTCCCCATTTTACAGAAACATAATCTCAGAACGTGATTCTTACTTAGAGGGGGCTTTGAATAATAGGAAATTATGTAATACGGTGTTAGTCCCAGATTTAAACCAGTTCACTTGGCCATGACAGGAGTTTGATGCTTAATTTACGGGAGCCCTTGCTGTGGCGGCCTCAGGATTTAATTTAGGGGAGAGGGGTGGATGTGCTCCCTTTCTACCTGGTAAAATGTAAAGCTTAAAACCAGGCCACCCTGATACAAGGGGGACAGGCCCATCCCCCCAATTTGCCCGAGATTGCCACGGATTCCCCCAAGGATTCCCCCTGAATCATCCTTGTATAGGAAAGGGGCAAAGATTATGATATTTTGTACCTTCATTTATTCCCCTTATTTATTATTTTGTTTCACCTGTGTAGTATCCCCGGCCTAGAAAAATTTCTCATTAATAGGTTTACCTTATGGTTGCCGGGTCTTTAAAGAGATGACCTTGCTATCTGTTTAAGAACCTGGCAACCATAAGGTAAACCTAAATATTACAAAATATGATAACAAATTTTTGGTTAAATTTTTAGTTTAGCTGAACAAAAAATTGCAATGTACAATGTAATTGTAATCTGAAATAAATTTGTATACATATACTAGAAACTTTTTAACCTGAGTGCTATAAAAAAGGGCACTGAAATATGAACTTTTTAACCTCCAACCAAAAGCCAGTGAGCTTAAAAAGTAAAAAAATCATTTTTTGAAGCTGCTACAAAATATAATCTGTATTCAATGTGAATATAATATTTTGAACAGGCACTTTATTCAAAGGTATCACCATAGAGTATTCCTATATATTTGGCTTATAACATAGGAAATTGAAGTGGAGGGGTAGAAACCAATGGGATTTTAAGATTGGAAACAGAGAACAAAAACCATTTCAGTCATGTATAAAACAATTTCCCAAAGGGTTGTGGTTAACAGATGGACATAGGTCTATTTTGGTTACAAACTACCATAATACCTCTTGTTGTATAAAGTCGACTCCGCTACGTGTGCTGTTGTCAGTTCCATATTTTTCATAGCTTGCCTCCAAGAGATTGGTAGCCAATTCCTTTGTCTCGTTCTTGTATTTGTAAGCCAACACTAGGCCGGCAATTTGTAGTACCAACATCGTCAACAACAACACAGTGTACTGAATAACATAATTAGAATTAGTACACAACAACTAATCAACTAGAGCTTTAAAAAAACAAAAAAGGGTTTTGAATATATCCAGCGTGTCCATTGGTTCAATGATTGAGTTTAGCATGAGTGGCATTTTGTCAAGAAACAAGAGAGGAGTACTAAAATGAGCAGACACATTATACAGGGTGATTCAAAATGAATGACCCAGTTTTAACGCTTTATAGCTTTTATACTATTAAACTTACCGCTATAAAATACACATCAAACGAAAAAGCAACTCAAGGAGTTTATGCCTTCCAAAGACACCTCATTTAACAAAATCTATCCAGCAGAAATGTAGATTTAATGGTACAAAGTTAAAAAGTAATCTCCAACTTTTTAACCACTAGAAATTTGGAGGTTACTGGACGTTTTTGCAAATAACTTTTAAATGGTGGGGAAATCGACCAAAGTGGAAGGTAATATTCCGAAAGAGAATAAAATTTCCTACAATCTACTAATATGCATTTTTTGAAAATACTCAAGAAAGGTACCAAAAATTGCCTCAAAATGAAAAAAAAAAAACTTGAAAATCCTCGTCTTCAGCGTAGACAATAAACATAGCAAACATTAACCCTTAGAGTGCCAGGCGAGAAATAAAAGTAACGCTCAAAAATGCCGATGATTTTTCCCGAAGGTCGCGCTAAAAGTGCCGAGCGCGATCTGGCGATTTTTAGGTTAAAATTTCGTAAGAATCGAATTTTCGATATTTCGACCAACGAAAATCGATGTATCGCATCTAGTAACTTTCGACTCAATGTTAATATATGGGTTAAAAGAATCCGAGTATCCATTCGGTTGTTATGACAGCTGTTCGATCATTACGAAACGTCCGGTCAGCCGGACGTTGGCACTTTTGGCTTGTTCTAAAAACGTCCGGTCGGCCGGACGTTGGCACTTTTGGCTCGTTTTAAAAACGTCCGGTTCCCCGGACGTTGGCACTCAAAGGGTTAAATTTCACACTTTTTTAAAGCTAAAATTAGGCTACGTTTATTGAGTATTTTCAAAAAATGCATATTAGTAGATTGTAGGAAATTTTATTCTCTTTCGGAATAATACCTTCCACTTTGGTCAATTTCCTCACCATTTAAAAGTTATTTGCAAAAACGTCAAGTAACCTCCAAATTTCTAGTGGTAAGAAAAGTTGGAGATTACTTTTTAACTTTGTACAATTAAATCTACAGTTCTGCTGGATAGATTTTGTTAAATGATGTGTCATTGGATGGCATAAACTCTTTGAGTTGCTTTTTCGTTTGATGTGCATTTTATAGCGGTTAGTTTAATAGTATAAAAGTTATAAAGCGTTAAAACTGGGTCATTCATTTTGAATCACCCTGTACTTTTTGAACTGGTACAGATTAGCAGATAAAACACAATTGTTTAACTTTATGTTCGTAACTTATGTTTAACTTAATGGGTTGTATTATTTGAACTTCGGATCATTTGAACTTCTATCATTTGAAATACTGCATACAATAGTAGACATCCCAGCTAATTCACCAGCTGTCGCCAATTATTAATTTAAACAGAAAAGTTGAATCAGCCACTCACAGAATCCGGCTAGTGTCTAAAATTATCTTTTCTTCTTTTGTTTTTTTCTTATTGAGATGATGGACATAAAAGATAATATAGATTACAATAAGTTGTTTTGGAAAAACTTGGTTAAAAGTTAAGTATTCAATAGAAATCAGTAAGACATCAGCGCACACTATCTGTAGCTCAATTCAACTACATTAATTATTTTCTTTTTACTGGTGACAACATTGACTTGGGGAAGAAATGTCTTATTTTATCTATAGTAAAAGGTATTGACGCTGTTCTACGACTGACCGTGCACATCATGCAGTGGTTTTCTTGAAGAGCGCCGCAACAGCCCATGAACGCAAAGATGAAAACACAGGCTCCGACCACAGTGAAAATGATGGCAACCATGCTCAGATTGCCTTGTAAAAGGTCGTCTTTTACTTGCTCGTTGGGGAGGGAAGATCCTGAGGCCATCGAAACTCCTACCACTACGACACCTATGCCGGCCAGCTGTGGAACACAGAAAATATCTCAGTTAACACACAAGTTGTCCCAGATAGGATATGTACATATCCTACGGACAAATTTGGCCTTTACCATAATCTGTCTACAACATGTTACTACAGTTAAAAATACTAGTTGCTCTGCCTGTGCTTCACAACAGGAGAGAAAGCAGAGAAGATAGTTTAGTTCTTCGCTGCATTGTCCAATGTGTATTGCTGATTAAGGTGTTTGTTCTAAGTGTAAATCCAATTCATTCATGTATAGGTAATGTTTATAAGGAAAAATATTATACTTTTTACCAATTGGAACACACACAAGGCTCCTTCCAAACTGGTTGGTTCTTTTTCCACTTAATTATAGTGTCAGGAAACATTATACCTACTCCGTCCGAAAATGTAGGCGGTTTTCGGGGAAGAAATCTATCCCCTCCACTTGATCATCTTACCATTAAAATAATAGCTTAACAGCTGATGTTTGCCTGGTTTGTCAAAACGTCAGTCAGTAGCAACTTGTATAAGTGAAAAAGTAGTGGTGGAATTTCCCCTCCAACCACCTAAATTTTGTGAACGGAGTATGGTATGTAACAACAATTAATTACTTACTATGTTTTAAAAAATATAGGAAGACTGAATTATTATGTAAAAAAATAGAACACTCTCATAAGGATTGAACACTAAATAAAGTAAATATCATACCACATTATAAGAATAACAAACCGGTACCGGTACTGAAACTAAGGTTTGTGCCCTTAGATAAATATTTTTACCAAAAAACTGATACTGTATTTTATAGGGAAGTTCCTCACCAAGATCTTTCATTAAAGTGTAGTTGATAGGCATGGGCTTTACAGCTTTCTCAAAAGTTTTATTTATTATTTTAAGTTAAATTTGTAAAGAATGTCTTGAACTTCCTGGGTTTTCTTTTATCATGTCCAATGTATTGAACAGCAATAAAGATGTATACAATCGGTAAGTTAAATAACATTTAATAACTCGCAGTCAGTAAGTTAGTTGACAGTATTGTGCAACAACAGCAGATTAGTAACACCTGTTCCAGTTTGTCATGCGTGACTGTTGCTGAGATAAACTTATGAGTCAACTAAGGTCACTTGTTATCAGCTAGCAATGCTATGTCCTATATGAAATCGAAGGAGAAAGGAACTTTATTGTACTTTTAACAATTGAACAGATTTTTACCTGTAAATATAAAGGTACAAATCTATTTGCATTTCCATAAGATTAATACTAAAGAGCTCTAGTAATGTTTAAACTAAATTTAAAAAACTTAAACTTAAACTTAAACTAATTAGTTTAAACATTACTAGAGCTCTTTAGTATTAATCTTATGGAAATGCAAATAGATTTGTACCTTTATATTTACAGGTAAAAATCTGTTCAATTGTTAAAAGTACAATAAAGTTCCTAAGCAAATACGCAGTAAACGTAAACATAAGTTTTCTTAGCAGATTTTAATTTTTAAATGCCTATACCTAATTTAGATTTTGAAAGTATGAGAAATACACTCAATGTCTTAATTCGACACTCATAAAAGTTTAAAGCTAACTTTTAATTATTTGAGGTAATCTGTGGAATTGTTTCAAGAAAACATTGGATCGTTTCTTCCGGAACGAAAAATTCCACAATAAGATTTGGATACCTTATCCTGTATGACTTGTATATCTGTTATACTAATATACGGGTCAACTTACATGAGAAAATTTTTAAATACTTATTTCAAAGACAGCAGCTGAAGAAAATTGGAAAATTTATAAGTTTTTGTAAAAAAAATTGTAATTTCAAAAAAATGAAAAAAACTAGCCTACCTGTTCTAGCCTTAAGAAAATTTTGTTGAAGTGTTGATAGAGAGGCAAATGAGTTTCTAGTTAATTTTCAATTTGAAATACTTTAAAATAGAACACTGCCAAAACATCACAAGTTTTAACGCTGTTAGGTCAATGACGTTATTTGGTCTCTCATTCTACATTATTTATGTTAATATATTCTGTGTAAGGTGCATGCATTCATATCTCAATCGTTGACTGTCACCGACATATTTTGATGGCTTACAACGCGTAAAACAAAACAATCAACGTACAACGTAGACATCTCGCAAAATAGCAAAGCCATTGTAGGGTGACCAGTGTTCCAACAAAATAAAATTCAAGGACAATTCCAGATTTTTTCAAAATTTCCAGGGCAAAACTTAAAGCTCAAATACACATTATTTGTTTTTTTTTTACTTGCTTATTTACGCCTGCAGGTACATTTTAAAATCCTTTGGCGAATACCATTATCATTTCTTGCGATCACAGTATAAAATCTGTAACTTATTTTTCGTTCAAGGCAAAATTTGTGTTGATTTCCCACGGTTTCGGCAACATTCATTACGGTTTCCTGCAATCGCGACAACATCCATGAAGATTTCCTGCAATAGCGGACACATTTTGTGATGATTTTAGGCGATCACAGCAACATCCAGAACATCCTTGATGAATTCCGCTGATGGCGACAAAATCCGTGATGATTTCCTACGATCGCGCCAACATCCGTGATGATTTTCGGCGATAACCGCAGCATCCGTTACGATTTCCCGCGATCGTTGTAACATCAAAGTTGGACATCAGTGATATTCTCCTTCTGCGGCGATCATGTCAACACATCTGGTTATTTCCCACGATGGCGGCAATACCTGTGCTAATATAATTTGTCGCAATCTCAGCAACACCCGTGGTGATTTTTCACAATCGCACACGTCCATGATCATTACTTGCGATCGCGGCAAAATCTGTTAATCTTCGCGGTGATCATGTCAACACATTTGATTATTTCTCACTATCGGGGCAATAACTGTGATAATATATTGCGATGGAAAAAAAACTCCTGTGACTATTTTTTGCGATCGCGGCCAAATCCGAGATCATAAATTGCAATCGCGGCGAAATTTGTGATGATTTCCGGAGATCCACATAATTTCCCGTTATCGCGCCAACGCCCGTGATATTTTTTCCGATCGCGGTAACTCCCGTTATGCGCAATAGTTTCCTGCGATCGCAATTTTCAACAACGCAAAACGAAAAAATCTGTGATTTCGGGTGGATTTCTCGGCGATTATTTATATGCTGTAGTTCCAGGTCCTTTACCAAATTCACAGATTTTTCCCGGTCATCAAAATTCACGTACAATTACCGGTTTCCAGGTCGGCTGGACACCAGGAACGTGAAAAAAAACCGTTCATAACACACACGGTTCAATAATATTTTGATCAGATTATAGGACTTTACAACAAGACTAACTTGTGGGTTTTGTCATAGACGAAACTAATCATCATCTATGGTTTGGTGTAGTTCAGTAGTCATTGGTTTCTAATTCTGTGGTCGCTGGTGTATAGGATTAGGCTGTAGGCTACAACCGTGACAATACTGACAATAGCGAACAAAACGGAAGTGGCAAAACAGCGCGACAGGTACAGACAACTTCCGGTGTGATGATTCTGACGTAAAAACAGCAATTTACAATTAACAAGAAATCCTGAATGCTTTAATGTCCAATCAGTAGGTGCCCGATACAAATACTAAAACAAGAGTACTTATGTTTATGTTTTTTAGAATGCACCATACAGTTTATGTCCGATTTTAGCCTTCATTGACTATGGTATATAGTCAATGATATGATAATATACTACTGAATGATAGTTAATTTGACATTATCATTTATTTAGGGTTATTATTTGCGAAGCAAGGTGTGGTCAAACAAATTAATTTTACAGCTAACAACTTTCGAATCACTGGAAATTTTCCGAGATAGTAGTTTCGAGATTCAACAACGTTATCAGTTACACGCACGATGGGCTTGTTCTCCGATCACACACTGATAAGCAACATATGTTACGAGGCGATGACGTCACAATTTGAACCTGTTGTCACTGGATGACTCATGCACAGAACATCGTACACTGATACCAGGAACTGTCTTGGACTTATGAGGATATTTTTGCAAGTGAATTTCTTGAACAGCCTAACTAAATAATGAACAGTTAAATATGCAAAATTTAAGTTTAAACCTTTTTCCTATGTTTATTTTTATTACATTATGTAATATGTATTAACATAAACGCCTCCGGGCATTGGCCTAGCGGCACAGGATGTGAACGTGGGTCAAAAAATGTACTGTACCTATATATTTACGAAGCTATGTTTAAACCAAAATAAAAATCAACACCTATTATTATTCTTAAAACATTATTTCTCACATTGTTCTTTTGTTTTCGCGATAAACAGATGAACCACAACATTCCCTCCCTGGAAGGGCCTTCACCTCGATGATTAGCCGTGACGACAGTTTTGTTCACCTCGTATTTCTTTGTTATCATCACACCGGCCGCGGCTATGCAAACCACAAGAGGAGGTCGTCCCTTCGGTTGTGATATATATTCGTTCGAGGAACTACAAAATATTCCATACTCTATGAAATAAATTAAATTGTCTTTAAAGGGTACAAATTGATAAACTGACGTTTAAGACATAAGTTAAGGGAATCTCATAACTTTTTCTTATATATTCAGTATGCCTTGGTTAAATAAACATTTCGTAAATAAAATTACTTTTTATTGAGGTTAAGATTTAATTTGGTTAGCAGCCGACAGAGTTAGCACGTTTATAATTTCAAAGGATCAGAAACAGCCAATACTGTATATAGTTGAATTGACAAAATGACTGGCATTCTGAAGTGCCACGACTAGGAATTACCTTTTAGTATTATTTTATTTTTGAATATCGTACTAAATTGCCAAGTTAGTCATATCAATCATCGGTTATGACTATCAGAGTAAATCATATGAAGTGTTATTGTGATTCATTATCCATGTATAACTTTAACTTTCCTATCGTTAACATTGTCTGATACCAATTAATCATGTGAAGATGTCCAGCATGAGTCATGTTTATTATATCTTTCTTTATATACATAATAATGTGGTGTTTGATATTTTTACATTCTCCACGATCCAATGCATTTAAAGTTGTATATAAAATGTATTTCAAATCATAAACTGGATTCGACTTGTTTGTGTTCTGTGAATAGTGATATCGTGTAGGTATTATGTTTTTTAGGCATTTTATTATGAAGTCAATTAAATATGTACGCTCTGTTGCAAGTAATGGAGTTTGTAAATGAAAATTACACCCATAACTAACCGGGTTTTATTCTAAATAAAAGTTTTGCAGCCTCTATAGGAAGGATAAAAAATGTATAGTCATAGTCATTTATAGAGACTTTTTTTAAATTATACATGACAATCAATTACTAATTAAGTGCTTCAACCCAAAGGTAGTTGACAGTAGACAGTTTATTCATCGTTCAGTAATTAACACATACAATGGATTTCGTCACAAAAGAATACATATAGGCCTATATAAAGGCTAATTTATGATAATGGTTGTTGACAAGCTTATGGAAGAAAGTATGTGTCAGAATGCTGATACCGTTTATTTATAATCTAGATCATTGTTTATGAATTTACTTTAACATAAAAAATCATTTCGTACATTGGATTGATTTGTAACAAGCGTTGGATGGATTATATTCAATAAGCGTTTAAGACACCAAATTATAGATACACTGCAAAGATACTATGGATAAAAGCCTTTACAGTCCATTTCTAAATAATTAATGTTTCGTTTCATTACTGTAGGTTTATCACCAGAGAAGTTCCAAATCAAGACAACATTTTACACGGGTAAAGGTAGTAAAATTGATGAAATTAAGAGACGCTGTAATTGTAAAATGAACCCAAACCAAAATGATTGTAGTTGTCACAACTAGCACACTATGATCACATCACTTGTTTATCGTTAGTGGGAGATATTTGCTTACATTCCAGATTGGTTTGCACACACACACACGCACACCCACACACACACACGCACACACACACACCTTGTTTATTGAGGTGCTCCGTTTCGTGTACCAGCTGATAATCTTATCTGTCGACATCGTATGTTCCACTAATATGTTGACCATGCATCATTTGTCAATACGCCAAGTCTTCAAATTATCGGTCACAAATTCTGTTTAAGCATGTGACCGGCTGATTCACCTTTATCTACCAATATGTTTGGTTACATGCTTAAAAGAATGTCGTTGACTTTAGTAAGGGCCTTTGTTTGTTATAACGATTTTAATGTGACTTTTAATGTAAAAACTGTTTAAAGTTTTTATACATTATGTGTGTAAGCAGTCAGAATACAAACGAGAAACAAAAAGTTGGTGAATATGTATTTTTACTAGGCAATTTTGATTGACGATAATTTGTGGTAGGTAAATCATGGAATTCAGCAACGAATTTCATTAACAGTAAATTAGTGTAGCCTAGTTTCATCCACCTCGAAAATAAGTTTGGAAGTTTAAAATGCAAAATTTGCGCACAGGTCCTCTGGGATTAAATATAAGATTAAGTGGGGTTCCTAAAGCACAATTTTTTTAATACACAATAATTTTAATAACTCTTGGTGATTTAAAAAGGATCTCCAGAACGTCTTTGAATAAATGTATTTGACCATATCTATCAAAATCAAAATAATGTTTGAAGTACAATGCTACCCTGGACATACATATTTTGGTTGTATATGCAAACAAAATTTAGCAAATCTGTGCACTCTAGAGAATAAATTAAATGTAACAAGCGTATACAAATTCCCGACAAAAATGAATTTTATTGTTGCGTTAACTGGTTAAATAGTGGCAATTATTATTTTTAAAGGCAAATTATAACTATTAATAAAAACTAGAGGTCGTCCAGTGGTCGAAAGCTCGACCAAAAATATTAAATGTACACGCACCGTACAGACTTCTCTATTACACCCAACCCTGTAAATAAAACATGTGATTGCGATTTCTTCAATTTGTTTTGGTTTTCTGTTTATATTTTGTTGTTATTTCGTCACCAGCATAGTAACCCATATGGCCCATGTTAAAGTTTTAAAGTTTAAAATACATTTTTTGTGCTTATTTTATATATAGGTTTTAACAGTATGCGTAGATTTTCCTGCGATGCACAAGAGCTGAGAAAAAAGGTTTTAAAGAAACATTCTTGCCTATAGATAATAAGACATTACAATTTGATAGACAAAATTTACCAACCTTTTACATGCTCACGGGAAATGGCAAAACATGTAATTTTCTTGCCTCGTCAAAACATGCATGATCACGAATTCAACTGCTAAAACAGAGCGGGAATACAAGAGATGGCTTACAATTAACACATTTTAGATAACTAATATACATAAATTATGAATCTTTGAACACTTACCGCCAAAACGAGATTGATGACAATTAAAATGTAGCGAGCAATTGTGGAGCAACCCATGTTGAGATGTTCTTGACGATTCAAACACAACACTGACACTGACTGAGGACTGCGACTGACTGACTAGTTAGTTAGTAACTACTGACTAGTATGAGTGAATGCTAACTGCAGGCTTGGACCGGCACTGGAACTGAACAACTGAACTACACTATCACACCAGCTGACCAGCTAGAGGAGAAAGAGAACTGATCAACTGAACTGAACAACCAAAACAACCAAACAACTCCAACAACTCCAAACAACTGACTGAACTAGTGAACACAACACACCTCCCAGCCACTGAGCTATAATTCTAACTGGAGGTAGCACCATGGTAGCACTGAATGTCAACGATGCGTGTCGCCAGCCGCCATGTTTGCGTGAGGTGTGAGTTATAAAGAAGCCATGTTATTGGATGAAAAAACTCACTGCTATGCAAACCTAATTATAGAAGCCATGTTATTGGATGAAAAAACCTGCTGCTATACCAACCTAACAAAATCAGCGACACGCTTATGACAGACTTCTGCCATGGCAGTGCTACCTCCAGTTATAATTTTAGCTCAGTGCTCCCAGCTAGACAAGAGGAGAAAGAGAACTGATCAACTGAACTGAACAACTCTCCAAACAACTGACTGAACTAGTGAACTGACTGTGAACGAGATTCATGATAATCGTGATGTTTGATGTTATTGCGGGAAACGCGGTGGGGGTACGGTCACGTGGTCTGAAAGACTAGCTTTTCCTTAATCGCAACAAATTGCCTTTGCAATATATCTATAGCATATTAATTGCTCGAAAAAATAAAATTATATAATTTAGTAAATCATTCGCTTTAGGCCCTACCTATTTATTTAATTTAACTAGAGTATATTACAAAAATACTATAATTTCGCAGCTACATGTGAAATGAAGGTTCTCTACAGAGAAGTGGGTTACAAATAAGGAAACCTCGCTTATAAGACTACCGTACCGTGCGTTTTGAGCTATATGTTGTGCGTTGTGCGGGAAGGGGAAATATACTCGTGACGAGCAATGAAGAGCCCGAGCGGCGAGCACTGTGCGAATATTTCTATTGCACGAAGCACAGGCCTTTCTCCAGTGTGAGCGTTGTATGTAGTACTAGTACATTTGGACAAGAGGGGTAGTAGTATATTGGACTTTTCCCTAGACACCCGATACCAGCACTTAGTGCTAGACACCACTTGTGTTCTTGATTGACACCAAGTGTACGTTGAATGTTTCCTCTGTACCTCACTTCACTGTGGGTTCTCCAAGGTTATCCCATTTCTTTGTCATAATTTGTTCACGAGAGTTTACCAGCCAAAATCCGTGTATTGCAGAGGATTGATAAAAAAACATTTTTGTAGATAAAAAATAATTTATTTTAATCCACCAGTTTGCCACGATCACAGGTGACCATAATGATGTCAGCCGCAGACCAGGGGAGATGTTCACGATTTTGCCGCGGCAGCGGGTGACAGTGATGTGTCCTCATGATCGCAGCCCGCGGGAGACCTTCAAGAATTAGCCACTGTCGTGATTTGTCAGTGATGATGTCACCGTGATTGCGGCCCGCGGGAGACGTTCAAGAATTAGCCACTGTCACGAGTGTCGATGATGATGTCACCGTGATTGCGGCCCGCGGGGGATGTTCACGATTTTGCCGCGGCCGCGGGTGCCGGTGATGATGTCACCGTGATTGCGGCCCGCGGGAGATGTTCACGATTTGCCGCGGCCGCGGGTGCCGGTGATGATGTCACCGGGAATGCGACCCGTGGGAGACGTTCGCGATTTAGCCACGGCCGGGGGTGACGGTGATGTGTCCTCATGATCGCAGCCCGCGGGAGACGTTCAAGAATTAGCCGCTGTCACGAGTGTAGATGATGATGTCCCCGTGATTGCGGCCCGCGATCGATGTTCACGATTACGCTGCGATCGCGAGTGTTGATGATTATGTCACCGTGATTGTGGCCCACGGGAGATTGATTTCGCCACGGCTGGGGGTTTCAATGAGAATGTCCCCGTGAAGGCTTCCCGAGGGGATGTTCACGATTTCGGCACGGCCGCGGGTGACAATTACGATGTCCTCATGATCGCAGTCCACGGGAGATGTTTTTAACACGACTTTGTCATGATCGCAAGTGTCGTTGTTGATGTCCCCATGATTGCTGCTTCGCGGAAGATGTTCACGATTTTACTGCGGTCGCGGGTGACGGTGATGATGTCCTCAAGGTCACAGCTCACGGGATATGATCACGATTACGCCGTGGTCGCGAGTGTCGAGGATGATGTCCCTTTGTTGCAGCCCGCGGGGGTCACGGATACCTATGATGGCTTTGACTTGATTTAGGAGAGATGTCCACAGGTCGAACGATCACGATCACAGGTGTCGATTATGATGCTACCTTGTGCATAGGAGATATTCACGATTACTTCCGCGATCACAAGGAATTTCCACCACAGGGGTAGGGCCGCTCAAGTAATTATGGCCGCAAGTACCCTAAATCCGGCACTGCGTGAGTGCGTGTGCGTGTATTGTACAATCAAATCAATATAAATACATGTATTTTAACGGCTGGTATATTATTCAACGCTAAAATGCTCTAGAGGCATAACCTGAACATAGCTAATTGACTGCCTCCAATCTAAAAGCAGAACATAACGAAGCGAAACGATCATGAACAATCATATGTTTTGACTTGTCATTTGTCATATTTATTTGTGTTTTGCTACCGAGCAGGGTTTCGAATTGGTGGGTAATTACCCACTTTGTGGGTATTTTAAGCTATGGTGGGTATTTTTGCGGGTATTCTATTTTAGTGGGTAAAATAGGGTATTTCATGCTCGCTTCATGGTATTTTTCGTTTTTAGTGCATTGGGAAGTTTCTGCTTTAGCAGGCTTCATGTTTAGAATCAAACCTTAAAAACATTGGCAACTTTTTTTGCCTTCAGCAAAGCCTTTTTTCTTCTTCCACTTCTTCGATAATTCCTTGTTGCGATACCACTGTCTTTCCGATATTTGGTATCGATACAGTATCGCAAAAAAGTAACGATACCGGCTCAGTATCGGAACTAAAGTATCGATACCATTAGTATCGGAACTAAAGTATCGATACCATTAGTATCGTATCCATTCGATACCAGTGACGTCATATTCTGATTCACTGATCTTCGATTAAAGTTCACTCGTTCCAGTACAGTGCAGCCAATATGGGATTCGAATTCAAGCTGCTAAAAACTACCTAAATATGTAAAACATTGATAAAATTAACCAAACATTGCCAACTATTGTTTTCAATTTTACCTTCAAGTATAAGTTCAAGTAGGCCTAAGCTTACCATAAGTTCTAGGCCTATATAATTTATATTTTCAATAGACAATGTTATTAAATTACCAACGTAACGCATTCGTGTTTACCATCAGCCTAAAAAAAGTTTATTTTTTAGTTAAATAACTTTAAGTGCGGTGCCATCTTTTTAGTTTATTTGATGTTAAATAGTCCATGGTTTCATTTTATTTGCCTAACACAACGTTGCTAACATTGACTTGTAACAAAATTAACTCTGCAACTAAACCCTTAAGTTGTATCATTGACTAAATATACGTCTGTAGGTATATATAGTCAATGGTTTTACTTATAGTTATGTAAAGTTCTATGGAAAGTGAATCATAATTTACTCAAACCACATATCAGACAAGCTAGATAAAAAAATATTTAATTGGGTTAAATTTTTTTTTTTTACAAAAATACATCATGTCCATTTATTTTGGGTAAAATAGTTTGATATATATTTCAATTATATATTTTACGTCATTACACCACATATTACTCTTATTCAAGCTGAGTGGGTAATAGTGGGTATTTTTAGGTAAAGTGGTGGGGAAAATTACTGAAGTGGATTAGAAACCCTGCTACCGAGGTTGAGGTTATTGCTGAAAATTAACAAATTGTAAAGAATCCATTTTAGGTTTTAAACTAAAAAATGTGGCATAATCCTTCATTACCACCTCCTTAAATAATTGTTTATTGAAAGTTAAAGATATTTTTGACAATCTTATTATAGTAGCCTATAATTAGGGCCAACATATTATGTCTTCTTTGGTAGCTGACTATGGCAATTCTTCTGAATCAGACTCAAGTGATGAAATTCAGGGAGATAAAAAAGACAGGTAAGTAAATAGTTAGGCCTAAGCATTTTGTAGAGTTTAAACTTTGACTGTTTGTAATAAACCTTTAGAGAATAAAACTTAGGTTTTATTAAGCAAAACTGAATACAAGAATTAAACAGAATAAATAAACAAATCTGACTAAAACATTAAGAATGTCAGCTGACATTTTGTACAGTACTTGGAATATCACCACATTCTTCCGCTCTAGTAAATTTTATACACATCGAATTTCTTAGGTAACACCTTTGGTCTGGTTGACCGACGTGGTGGATGAGGTTGATTGCAAGGAGCGCTGCTGGTTTGATGTTCATCATTTTCAGGAACACCATCTGACGTTGCTGGTGGTAAACATAAATCTGTATAGTTTTGAAGGAGCGGTTGTGACGAAGTAGTGTTCTGTTCCAGAGACGAGGTAGTGTTCTGTTCCAACTGTTCATCACCGTCTTCGTTTTCATAAGTAAGATTTGTTGGATTTTGCATTACATTTCCTCTTGGTGCTAAATATCTTAAGGACACAATTGATTCTCTTCCTTCTTTATTGCGGACTAAAGAATATTTTGGGTTTGTCTCAATTACTTCAACCTCTTCGACCAGTGGGTCAAACTTACTGCCTCTTATGTGCTTCTTCATAAGAACTTTTCCTGGAATAGTCAGCCAAGTAGGGATAGTTTCTCCATTGCTAGATCTTCTTTGATGTTTAAACATTCTTTCGTGCGGTGTGCAATTCGTAGCTGTGCATAAGAGGGATCTGATGCAATGAAGGGCTTCATCTAAAACACTTTCCCACTGAGTTATTTTCATCCCTCTCGATTTCAATGCTAGCTGGACAGTATTCCATATTACTCCGTTGAATCGTTCAACTTGCCCATTTCCACGTGGGTTATATGGACTTGCACGACTTGTAGCTATTCCCAAATTATGTAAAAATGATTTTAGTTCTACCGACATAAAACCGCTACCCTGGTCTGTGTGTATATATGATGGTGTACCAAAAATACTGAAGACTTTGTGAAGTTGTTTGATAATAGTTCTTGAGCTCATATCAGGACAGGGGAGTGCAAAAGGATAACGTGAATATTCGTCAACTATAGTTAGAATATAGGTGTTATTTGTTACTGAAGGGATTGGCCCTTTAAAATCCATATTAAGCCTCTCAAATGGGGCCATAGCTTTGATGAGATGTCCACTAGAAGTTTTCAGGAATTTTGGTTTGATCTCTGCACATAGTGGACAGCCTGCAGTCATTTTTCGCACATCTTCGACTGAGTAAGGAAGATTGTGGGTTCGGACCCAGTGCACCATTCGAGTAACGCCTGGATGACATAGTGACTTATGTAAGTCAATTAAACTTTGATTTGGCATCGAACTGCAGAGTCGAGTGAAGGCATCAGCGACTGTATTTTGAATACCAGGCCTGTAGACAGTGTCAAAACTAAAACAAGACAGTTCTAGCCTCCATCGTTGAAGTTTCTCATTCTTTATTTTGCTACTGTGTTTTTGATCAAAAATAAATGACACCGACCTTTGATCTGTCACAATCTTGAAATGCCGTCCAACTAAGAAATGTCTCCATTTCCTGACTGCCTCGACAATAGCTGCTGCTTCCTTTTCTATTATCGAGTGTCTCTTTTCACTGTCTGATAACGATCGTGAAAAAAAAGCAACTGGACGACCCATTTGACTAAGAGTCGCTGCAAGTGCATTCTGTGATGCATCAGTTTCTACTACGAATGGGATAGATTCATCAATAGTATTAATAGCAGACTGAGCTATCTCTTGTTTCAGTTTTTCATAGTCAGAAACAACTTCTGGAGGAATTGGGAATGTTTTGCATTTAACTAATCTGTGTACTTTTTCAGAAAATTGAGGGATCCATCTTGAATAGTGAGCTAGCATTCCAACTGCACGCCTTAATAAATCAAAATTACTAGGAACAGGTAAGTTCAGAAGGGGTTCAAGTCTTTCAGGATCCGGTTTAATAGTGTTATTTTCAATTAGGTATCCCAGAAGTCTGATTGATCTTTGGGAGTATGAACATTTGTCTTGATTCAGAGTCAGCCCGTACTTGTTGGCTGCTGCCAAGAAATTTGCAAGATTTCTATCATGATCTTCTTGATCTTTACCACAAACCGTCAAATCATCTAGATAAGCAAAAACCCCTTCTAACTTTTCTTTACTGATTATACCATTAATTACACGCTGGAAACAAGCAACTCCATTGGTAACTCCAAAAGGTATTCTGTTGAAATGATATAGTTTTCCACCTGCTTCGAAGCCAGTGTATTTTTTCTCATTTTCACAAATAGGGATTTGATGGTAAGCGCTTCGGAGGTCAACTGTACTAAATACCTCATACTTAGAAATTTTTGAAACAAGATCTTCAATATTTGGTAAAGGATAAGCATCAAGGTTAGTGAAACGGTTAATAGTTTGAGAGTAATCAATGACTAACCGTCTTTTGTGATTCTCATTTTTGGTAACCAGGACTTGAGCCCTCCAAGGAGAATTGCTCTCTTCAATTATTCCTTCAGACAACAATTTACCTATTTCATTTTCTATAAATCTTGTTTCATCAAGGGAGAACCTTCGAGATTTTATTTTTATTGGGTGACAATCTGGTGAAAGATTAGCAAATAGTTCAGGAGGTTCAACAATAGCTGTAGGCAAACTGCAAGGGCCCAAAGTTAGTGCTGGCTTAGAACCGCCAAATGATATGCATAGATTTGTATACTTAGAGAGAATATCATGCCCAATTATCATGTCTGCACAGAGATTAGGCAAAACTGAAACCTTAGTTTTTATATGTTGATGCCCTAAAAGCTCAATATCAACGAAGCAGTGCCCACAGATACGGGATTGTAAGTCTACAGATGCCATAGAAATCTGGCCTCCTCCAGGAACAACTAAAAACTTTGTTTTGTCAACGAATGTTTTATTTATGAATGTTTCAGAGCTACCAGTATCTATTAGAGCATCAGCGACAACATTGTTAATCTTAACTGTAACTACAGACTTTGATAAACATCGAGGAGCGGCAGCCAGCAGTCCCGACTCATGACTTTTCTCCATGGCTGAAAGATTAGAAGATTTACCTGATTTTTTACGACGACAAACAATTGAGAAATGACCTTTTATCCCACAGTTTCGACAATCAGCATCCCTGGCTGGACAGACATTTCGAGGATGTTTGGCTTTCCCACAGAAGAAGCATTTTATTGTCCCTGAGGCAGCCAGTGATGATTCCTTATAACATTCTTCTTGATTCATCTCTTGATTTAAAGTACTGTTCAAGAATTGATTTTGATGAGTTTGTTGGTAGATTTCTGAGTGTTTCTGAGCTGATTCTAGTGCTCTTGCTTGAGCAACGGCATCCTCTAATTTCAGAGTATTGTTCTCTAGTAGTCTTTGACGTAATTGAGGAGATAATAGCCCAGTGATGAATGAGTCTCTAATGTAATCGTTTTTACTTTCTTCTGCATTAACATTACGAAAATTACAATCTTTACTCAAAAGTTTCAGTTTTTGTAAGAATTGATCTACAGACTCCCCAGGTTGTTGCTTGGAAATAGCTAATATATGCCTTGAATAAACTTCATTTTGAGGTTTCACATAGAGGGTCTGTAAAACCTTCACAGCATCTTCATAGGTCTTTGCTTCTGAAATAAATTCATATACGTTGTGACTAATGTAATTTATGAGTAGTTTTAACTTTTCTTCGTCACTTACTTTATCAACAGAGGATACAAAATTTTCAAAAGTCCTCAACCAATGTTTGAATTCAAATGCTGCTTTGGTTGTATCAGGTAGACATTCAAATCTTTCTGGTCTTAACAGTTTATCCATTTCTTTCTCTAGTATTAAGTGATTGAATAGAATGGTTTATAGGAAGCCTATAGATACTGATTCTCAGACTAATTATGATAATATTTGCTTAATAAATTGTAATAAACCTTTAGAGAATAAAACTTAGGTTTTATTAAGCAAAACTGAATACAAGAATTAAACAGAATAAATAAACAAATCTGACTAAAACATTAAGAATGTCAGCTGACATTTTGTACAGTACTTGGAATATCACCACACTGTTTCAACTTGCCATATCACTTTGGGCCTAAATGCCTAATAGACAGCAGTTTATAAAATAGCATTTTAAAATAGGCCTAGGCTAGCAAATTTGGTATGCTATGATTTTATACACCACAGCCTATCTAATCATAAAAAAATATACGGCCATAATCTGGTAGGGGTCTGAAAACTTGTAATGTGTTGTGTTAAACGAATCATCAAGCTTCAATGTGACATGTAAACCCCTGGCATATCTGCAAACATTTTAAGGGTTTGGAGCTATACCTTAAAAGTGGTCCTCGTTAATTCTTTACTAAGATGCCTCTGACGGACCTTAACCAATAATGGGACTTCCTGATTAACCTTCAAAAATTTATGACCCTAGCTCATCATCTCATGAACTAAAATTCCTTCAAATAAAAACAAAATCCTTTAAATATCAAGGCAGGCCTTTATATGTATAACAAATGTTGGATTTAATATTAGAACAAGTAGAAACTACATATCACACAAATTTCACAGGCTAGAAACCTACCCTGCGGTTTATATTTTGTGCAACAACTATGTGTAAACACAGCATCCATTTTCTTACTTAAGAAAATCCTGAATAGTCTGTTTTTCTGTATTAAGAGTGCTCCACTTTTTCCCAATCTTTAAGCCCACGATTGTGTCCTGTTTGTGTTGCAAGGAGGGATAAAAACCCCGCTATTGAAAAGCTGTTTCCCTCTCAATAACTGCCTTGTAGTTTTTTTAAATATGCAGACACAGCAAAACATAAATTTTGTCCACTCCTAACCATAATAGTTACGGAAATACCGGTAGTACGAGTTAACCTAGCCAATTAGAACAAGACCAGCAGTGTCCACCTGCAGCGTTCATTGCCGAAGTCCTACATGAGTGAAACTACTTGGTGCCTACTGCCGCACCCTGTATAAAGTAGGTATTCACTTTAAAGTGAATAGGTAGGCTTAGTGAGTTATTTAGGTCGGAGGCATTTAATTTAAAGTTAATTAAATTGAAATTTTCCATCTAGGCCTATTGTCAAATTTTGTACTCCATTAAACAATTCAAAACACTTTTTTACAGGGTGAAACCGTCCACTGAGGCTGAAAAACTTCCGTTACCAAAATTTGGCGAAGATGGCGCCAAAATCACCAACTCAGTATTTAAAAATCCTTTTGCTGAAGAGGAAATCGCCAAAAGTGCCATCTTAGAAAAACATGTAAAAATGATTCCTGCCAAAGAAGATATTACGCAGATTAACGGTAAACAAATATGTTGGATGTATCGTAAAGGTAGATGCCGATTTGGTCATAACTGTAAGTTTGCTCACGACTCGGACCTTTATAGCGAAGCAACCGGAGAAAACTTGGAGCAAGCCGAATGTTCAGCAGGCGGAGATGCTTCTACCAAAAGTGAAAAAGTGGACAAGCCAGTGGATAGTGAAACCAAGAAAAAGAAAAGGCCAGGGCTAACCCAAGGCCTAGTGCCTGGCAAAAAAGTTATGAATATGTACAAAAAACAGAAAGTCAGTACGAGCAACAAAGTATAGTTTTCTGTAACCATTCGTACTCTTGTTTGTGAACTTGCATGTATGTCGTTTAGGATAGTCGTTTGAAACATATTTGACAGTGCTATTTTAACAGTTTTAAAATATTTTTATCAATTAGTCTAAGTCGTTCAAGCACTGTTTGTTGTGAAGCCTAGCTGCACTTTCATATCACATGTTTCTTAGCACTAAGTAAATACTTTGTCATTGCCATTTTACAAAGTTTTAAATAGTGTCGCAATAAAGCTTAAAAATCTCTTTAGCACTGCAAGTGCTTTAATACCAGTTTGGTCTAAGTGCTAATCATTTATTGCCTTGTGTTTATCTAGTGATACTGTAATTGGTCTTCACTAATAATTTACTAAGGTTCATGCAATCCCTCGTTGTGTGATTAGATCTAGCTAATAACCAACTGTAATCAAGGAAAATAACGGACATGTTAATCAAACAGTAACTTATTTTGGCCTTGAAACCTGTCCTTTACAGGAGATCCCCACATTTAATACAAGCTTTCTATAAGTTTAGAGACCTGATTATTGTACAATTAGTTGGGTCTAGCAAAAATAAATAATATGAATCGTAGTATAACATGACCTAACTGGTAGTAAAAATAGCAAGAATTTGAATACAGTAGACCTCCTCATGATGCTCTTGACCGACCTTGCATTAAACAAAAATCAGATTATCCGCCCTCGATTGTAAAATTTTATTTTTTTAATCGACCTTGCTTTCAGAACAGTTCGGTTTAACCGCCTCTTTCTAGGATCTCGTCATTTCCGCTCCCACGCTAGGTGATGGGAATCATATACGCTTATCTCCACAGGATGTGACTAAGAATAAGTTATTTTAAATCCATCCCAAAAAATTTTGTTTCTGAAAACAGCCAAATGTTTGTAATTTAGGCCTAATCTAGAATTATTATGTTATCGCTAGAGTACACAAACAAGTAACTTATAGGGAAGTCAGGGGAGGGGGGTTAACGACTCCAAGGTCTAGATAGTTTTTGTGACTGCTTCCAGTGAGAGGCTAAACAACAACATCCTATCTCATAACAAAATGGTTGCTTGTATCTTTGATTTTGAAAAAAATTTCAATTCTGTATTACAATAGATTAGGAAAGCATAAATTAATATAACAGTACTTAAGTTATTGAAATAAGATTTTTTTTACTCTTGCCTATAACTATAATTTACTCCACTGAAAGTATTTGACTTAATCGTGTTTTATGTTTATTTGTGACTTTTCTATCAATATGAAAAAAGAAGATAGACAAAGTGTAGTTTATTTAATAAATACTGCAAGTACGACTTCAAAATAATGATTAATTCTAAATAGCACTTAATTTTGTCATGTTTTTGGATTGTCCGTTTTAACCGACCTATTGAGTTATCCGACCTAGGCAGGGTCCCATTAGGGACATGTATATAATGAAATGTGGAAAATAAACTGAGTAAGATAGGGTAAATGATTTTAATATTTAGACGGTGAAGCCCTTTGCAAAATCTTTTTTTAAGAGCATATTTGAGGTAAATATGTATAGCAAAGTTTCCTTGAACCTGGGGGATTATTGAAAAAAGGATAAAAACCACAACACTAAAAGCAGTTAGCCTACAATATTTTCAACTGGTCTGCATTACAATTTTTTGTAGCCTATTTATTTTCCCTACAGTCACCCGACAAAGTTGGCTTCCTTGTACTGTTTATAGTACTGAAAGCTGCTAATTGCTGCATATTTATACTTTGTTTTTGACATTTTTGACGAAATCTATTGTAACTCATGTTATTTAATGATGAATAAAGATTTGATTTGATTTGCCGTGCGGTTTATACTTTGTCGTACGGTTTATACTTTGCCGCACAACAGGATTCCAACGAAACAACACAAAACAGCGTGGTTCTATTATGCACGTAATCCGTCTACGCTTGGAAATAGGTTGGCAACACTTAAAGATAATAATACTATGAGCAGCTGATTGACTATTATAACTACAATTTAACTCTTTCAATGCGGTCGTCATGTTTACTCTTGAAAATTCCACTTATCTCAATGATAAGGAATCAGTCGCCGGCGACTGACCCGCACGCAATGTGTTAACCTGTCATTTGGTGTTTATATAGTTTCGGTATTTCTGGACTTTTCTTTTAAACGTGTTTAAAACATTCCTACGATCTTAATGAACAAGAAAATCCATTTAAAGCATTTTTTTTTAGGCGCGGAAACCACTTCAAATTACAAAAACATACGGAACTATATTTTTTAAAACGCGGAGCACATTTCTTGCCGAGGAAAAATAGCGGAGTGATACGGACCGGGTATTACTTTCTCTAGGGCACCTATTTGTGTTGCCAGCTGAACCTAAAAACGTGTTGTATAGTGTTTGAAAGACGAATTATTTATATGCTTTATAGTGACTGTAGGGAAAATATAATGTGTAACACGAGTGCAAAAGGCCTTTGCTGCACTCGAGATCATTCCGCACAAGCCGCACATTGCTCTCGTGTGCAGCAAAGTGCCACTTTGCCCACTAGTTACACAAATAACTATTACCACATGTTGAAGCTCAAGAAAAATTTCATTGTTTTGTTGATCAGGAATCTCAATATGCATGTTAAAAGAGAGTATCGGGTTAATGGTCTTATCGTGGGAAATGCTGATTCCTAGGACCAAACTCACAAACTGCAATCATCAATTCTTTCCTTCCTTTAGCTCTTGAACTAACTCAGTTTGCAATTATACCTTTGTTTGCCATGACCATCAGTAAATTTCAGTGACAGTATCTAGGTTTTGTTGGAGGAGTGCTATAAGAACCAGTCTTTGGTCATGGAATGCTGTATATGGCCATCAGCCACATGAGGTCAGTTGAGGGGTTACAGTTCTACATCAAATAAGGACGGCTGGCAGGTGAATAGAGTTGATTGTTTACAACGAATTACTTAAGTATAAAAAAGGCACTACTTTGAGAAAGAGTCCTTAAAAACATGCTCATATACAAGTCGATACCAACGAGTCGTGCAAGCGCGGCACCATTTTCAAAACAACGAAAATCAAGATTTTACTGTATAGAAAATCAAATTAAATCCAAAAGAATCATTTTAGCCTACAAAAAATCAAAAAGAATTTTTTACCCGCTTTCAAAATAAAAAACTAAGAAAGATGCCATGCAAATAGCAAAAGTAAAGTATTTCAACACCTCCACTTTTACCAATGAAAAAAGAAGAAAAAACCTGAAATTATAAAATAAACTGTGTCTGGATTACGCACGATTCCATGTACCATGTTCACTAGTTATTTCTAACATTTTAGCCCTTAGGAAGTAAAAATCAGCTGTTGTCAACTCAGTTGTAAATTTCGATTGTAAACAAAATTGCATGTATCGAAAGTATGTATCGATTGTAATTAATTGTTGCCTTATTGGAAATAGTATAATATACACTAACACAATCATAATAGACAAAACGGTTGAATTACTTACTAAACAAGCTGCTTGTTTCCATAAGCAAATTAACACATTGCGTGCGAGTTAACGCCTGGGGGGTAGGTCCGCGCTCCGCCACGCTGCGGCGCGCCGCCCGGGCGGTAGTGTGCACCCGCCAAACTTATTCGGTTTGAGTGCAGCCGCACTCCAGTGTAGGTCGGAGTTGGAGTATTTTTGTCCGTGCTTCGTGTACGACAGTGGCAGTTTTGTGGTGCGATTCGTTTGTAATTATCGTTACTCGTTCCGAAACTATACCTGGTGGATTTAAAAAACTCACTCATTGTTAACTGTAATTTTGTGCTATATTAGTGTGTTTTATTGTAAAATAATGGCATCTACTGTGGGTGTTTAGCAAACTACGTAGACTCTTGTCATGAAACAGGACATCACCACACGTTATTTGATATTCGTCATACCGAAATATGAAAGCCAATCACCCAGCAATCGGGTTTGTTCGATGCTGCGGGCTGCGCCGCACTGGGGCTACGCCTGCCATTTGATGGGCCGCAGCAAACGTTTTAAATTGAAAACAAGCTAGTAGTTTTGAGAGGTTATCTTAAAACGAAAACTATTTTAGTTTTGTAACATAGTTTGTTTAAATAGTGGTACAGTATGACAAAAAATATGGTTCATCACGGGCAATTAAGTGTCTTTTCAACCTCGGCCTCGATCGTAAAACTTAAGCTCGGGTAAAAAATAGTCACTTTTAAGGCCCTTATGATAAAATATGTATTAACAAATTTTAATGGTTAACCGCAATAACAAAATACATTAATGAAGGATAACCAAGGAGTTGGGAAAAGTGACTAATATTGTTTTATAACATTTATTTCAATCATATATACACAAGTCATGTTTCAATCATCTTTTGTACACTAATGGAACCAAGTGCTATAATTCCATTTTTGGGATTACTATACCGTTGAGGGGTATTTCAGTCAGACCCACTCATGAATTTGGATAGGAAGTCCTTAGGCTTGGGCTCGACAGTGTCTTTGAAGTACATCATCAAATGACATTCTTGCTTCCACTTGTTTACGATTTCCTTCAGTTCCATTTGACCCTGGAAATAAACCCAAGGTTATGTTAGAGTCTCAGTACTCAAGACTTACTAATTAAACTATCCACTGAACAGATAATAAAAACTATTAAAAAATTCTTTGGATCAAAAGTAATGCTATCTTAAATAAGCCTACCTTGATAATCAACATATCGATTAAGCGTATATCCTTGACGTCTTTATGCTTGTCAAACTCTTCTCTCAGCTTTGCATAGCATTGTTTTTCAGTTTTGGGAATATGGAAGTCGTGAACTGAAAAATAATCAAGGTTAACAATGAATTCATTTTCCTACTTCCGGATATTGACAACATTAATATAAAATATTTTAATTACCTTTCAATATTAAAATATTTTTTTTTATGTTAACAATGAAATGAGAGTAACATGGATTGAGTAAGAACTGAAGCTGTATGCAGGGTAATGTCGTTTACTCAAGAGCTCCAGATATGAGCTTAGGACCACAACTTCCAGTAAGAGGAGGGGGAGACTAAGTTCGTTGCTGGGTCATCTTTTCCTAGTCGAACACACCGACTCAAGGGGTCGGCTACACACCGCAGCAGCCGAGGGGAGGCAAGTGCGACATGCATGAGATGAGTCACTTGACTTGTCATGTCACAAAGCAGACACATAGCTGAAGACAATGCAAATGAAGGCGTTTAAAGTATAGGCTCGCCCTGCTTAACAGCCCAGTGTAATGATACAATAAAATAACCTAGTCACAGCTAACCTGCAGACTATGTGAATTTTC